AAAAAAAAAAAAAAAAAAGATTAAAGGCTGAGGCATCAGTGTTTACTGATGGGTTGGTGGAAGGATGGAAGAGACTGGAGTCAAAAGATTATTACAAGGTTTTTGGATTGAGCATCGGGAAAAATGGAGTTGTCTTAACGCTAAAGTGGGGAAGACTGGGGGAAGGTTGAAAATCAGGATTTGGGTTCTTTGAGGTTTCTCCATACTTTGTTCCAAAAAGGTTGTATTAGTTTGCAGTCCCACCAGCAGTGTAAAGTGTTCCTTTCTTTCCACATCTGCGCCAGCATCTGCAGTTTTGAGATTTTTGTGATATGGGCCATTCTCACTGAGGTTAGATGGTATCTCGGTATGGAGAAACCTCAAAGAACTCAACCTAGACCTCCCATTTGATCCTGCAATCCCATTACTGGGCATCTATCCAGAAGGAAAAAAAACCCTTTTATTATAAAGACACTTGTACTAGACTGTTTATCTATCGCAACACAATTTACAGTCGCCAAAATGTGGAAACAGCATAAATGCCCCACAACTCAGGAATGGATTGGCAAGCTGTGGTATATGTGTACCATGGAATACTATTCAGCCATTTTTTTAAATGGAGATTTTGCAGCATGTGTATTAACCTGGATGGAGGTGGAACACATTATTCTTAGTGAAGCATCACAGGAATGAAGAAGCATGAATCCTATGTATTCAACTTTGATATGAGGACAATCACGGTGGGGGGTGGGGGAAGGAGAGAGCAGACAGAGAGAGGAGGGAGGGAGTAAGGGAAAGGAAAAGAAAAGAAAATAGTGACTAATTCTCACATAACTTGGATTTAATTTTGATCAAAGTGTTGTAGGAAGATGAGGCCCAATGGAGAGAAAGAGCACTTAAAACACCACGTTTATAAGAGGAAGGGCTTTATTTACTGGCCAGAAGCTTACAGGATAGAAGAATTCCAAGTGGCCGCACTCCCTGACTGGCTTAGTCTTTACCTTTTTATCAATAGTCAAAAAGTTTTACCCCACAGCAGGTCCCCTTCTCATTGGTCACTTTGAATCAAGTGGGTGATGCTATTCCAGCCCTTACAGAATTACAGGATTTCACAGAACTGGGAAATTTCCAAGTTCCAGGAAGTTAAGTTTACAAATTCCCAAGAGCTGAGTCACCATGGAGGACCCAGCAGGTGTATCCTTGTGGTCTCCTTGAGAAGACCTGTTCTCCTAGATCTCACCCTTCTTGGGTATCTTCTCTCAAAAGTACATTATTTGAACAATAATTTTTTTTTTTTTTGAAACAGAGCTTCAAGCTGAGCCCCTGGGTAGAGTGCTATGGCTTCACTGCTCACAGCAACCTCCAACTCCTGGGTTCAAGCCAGTCTCAAGCCTCAGCCTCCCAAGTAGCTGGGACCACAGGCACCCGCCACAATGCCCGGCTATTTTTTGGTTGCAGCCATTATTGTTGTTTGGAGGGCTGGGCTGGATTCGAACCCACCACCTTGGGTGTATGTGGCTGGTGCCTTAGCTGCTTGAGCCACAGGCACCGAGCCTGAACAATAATTTTTAATTCAACTTGTCAGTATGTTTAGGATATTGCATCCTCATTTATAAGTGAAATATGTTTGTAATTTCCCTTTATAATAATGTATTTTTTCCAATTTTAATATCAGGTATATCCAGATGAAATAGAATGAAGTATTTCTTCTTTTTCTATTGTCTATAAGATTTGGCATGATGTTATCTGAAATTATCTTCTATTTTTATTTATAAATATTAGTTGTCTTTAAAAAAAAATGAAAATCAGGATTTGGGGTTTGGACACACTAAGTTTATTAGGCATCAAGTGGAGACTTTGAGTAGGTAGTTGGAAATACAAGCCTGGAGCTCGTGGCAGATGATGGAGTTGAAGATACATGTGGGGTCTTTTTGGTAGTGGGGCCATGAGCCTACAAATGTTATTTGAAGTCATGGACTGCATGAGATCATTAAGAGTATGAATGTATGGAAGAGAGAGGAGTCACATGTTGCCTCTCTTTAACACCCTGTCCCCAGGGAGTGATTTGTGAATGCATACATAACACACATACACATACACAGAGGCCAGGCTCTGAGAACAGGTCCCATGCCTCAGAAATTCATGCCACCTTGACCCTCTCCCCTTCTTGTAGCCTTCCTGGATGCTATAGGGACAACAGATCTGTGTTTGGGCCAGTAGAGCAAGGAGACCAGCAGGGGTGGGTGGCTATGTGACCCTTTCTCTCCAACAAGTGCAAGGGCAACAGGTAGTCCAATGGGCCCACAGAAGACGCTTATCTGGAGGTAGGAGCAGCTCAGGATGTACTCCCCCCTTTCCCCAATGCCCCCCCACAAGGACCCCAGAAGGTTCCTATCTATTCCTACTTCCCACACCCTCTGTTTCCATGTTCCTGCCTGCTCCAAAAAGCCATCCCTGTTCACCTTTTCCTTCCTCTCAGACATGATTCCCTCTTCAGCCTAATCCATACCTAAGTACCAACCCCCCTTTGCTAGGCACTCCTGCCCCTTTGCTCTGGTGCATCACCTGGCCTCTACCTGTTCTCTGCTCTTCCTCCCCACCAGACCCCTACAGAATTAAGAGACAGGCCCCGTCACTCATAGGACCCTGTCAGTGGCTCCTGATAACCCTGTAGCCCTCCATTGGGTTCTGGAGGGATGATAGACAAGTGGGGCAAACCAGCCAGGCCTACAAGGCCTATATCTCCAGCTGAACTTACTGGTGAGACACTGCTTCCACACTGGTGGGGTTCCCTCCTGCTGAGTTTTGTCTGGGTCAGAGGGCTAGGATCAAGGACAGAGGTGGTGACTGAAGCTGCCTCCCTTTGATTCATTTAGCTCTGTTCCTTCTTTACACATCTGTTCCATGTGAGGATTTAACAATAGTAACACTACTAGTAGTAATAATAACAGTTGTAGGCAGCTGTTAAGACCACTATACCTGGCTGGGCATGGTAGCTCAAGCATGTAATTCTAGCACTCTGGGAGGCCAAGGCAAATGGATTGCTTGAGCTCATGAGTTCAAGATCAGCCTGAGCAAAAGCGAGACCCTGGCTCTACTAAAAATAGAAAAACTGAAACAAGAGGATCGCTTGAGCCCAAGAGTTGGAGGTTGCTGTGAGCAACCAGCGCACTCTACCCAGGGCAACAGCTTGAGATTGTCTCAAAAACAAAAACAAAAACCCACTATACCAGCACTTTAAGATGTTATTTAACTTATTCCTTAATAAAACCCACAAGAAAGGATTATTATTCCCATTTTACAGATAAGAAAACAGACTCAAGAGAAGGTAAATGAAGCATATGTGGTGAGAATAAGATGGACTGTCAGGCTAGGGCAGACTTGACACAGCTGGTCTGGTAATTTTAGGTCTTTTTTTTTTTTTAATTTCTTTTTAGAGACAGTCTCACTTTGTCACCCTCAGTAGAGTGCCAGGGCGTCATAGGTTACAGCAACCTCCAGCTCTTGGGCTTAGGTGATTGATTCTCTTGCCTCAGCCTCCCGAGTAGCCACCTGTCATTTTAGGTCTTTTTTTTTTTTTTTTTGAGATAGAGCCTCAAGCTGTCCCCCTGGGTAGAGTGCCATGGCCTCACAGCTCACAGCAACCTCCAACCTCTGGGCTCAAGCAAGTCTCCTGCCTCAGCCTCCCAAGTAGCTGGGACCACAGGCGCCTGCCACAACGCCCGGCCATTTTTTGGTTGCAGCCGTCATTGTTGTTTGGCGGGCCCAGGCTGGATTCGAACCTGCCACCTTAGGTGTATGTGGCTGGCACCTTAGCCACTTGAGCCACAAGCGCTGAGCCGACATTTTAGGTCTTAAGTGACCTTCACCTCCTGTCTCTCTTGTGCAAATTTAGCTCATGCCCTAAAGATGCTGGTTTAGGAAGATTGATTTAGGAAATTGACTTTTGAATTTCAAATAGATTATCACCTGAGTAGTACTGATTATTATTCAAAATAAGAATTAGGGGCGGAGCCTGTGGCTCAGTGAGTAGGGCACTGGCCCCACATACCAAGCGTGGCAGGTTAGAAGCCGGCCCGGCCAAATTGCAACAAAAAAAATAGCCGGGCGTTGTGGCGGACGCCTGTAGTGCCAGCTACTCGGGAGGCTGAGGCAAGAGAATCACCTAAGCCCGGGAGCTGGAAGTTGCTGTGAGCTGTGACGCCACTGCACTCTACCGAGAGCAACAGAGTGAGACTCTGTCTCAAAAAAAAAAAAAAAAAAAAAGAAAAGAAAAGAAAAGAAAAGAAAGAAAGAAAAAGAAAGGTACTAGGAAGAATTAATGGGGTCTTTGCTTTGAATCTTTATGGATAAAACTGTGATTTTGGAAAAGGAAGAACGGAACTGTCTTGGAGAGGCTACTCTCACTGTTCTCCAGAATCACTGGCGTTCTGATAAAGTTTGGCAGACCTCTGCATGCCAACTTTCCTTGTCCAGTAACATACAGACCTTGCCTGAGGTCCCATGACTCACTGAATCACGATCTGACTCTCCCCTAACCCAAGTACGCTAAATTCCTATCACTACAGACCCCTCTCGGGTATCCGGAGACTGTCCCGGCTCTGCTAAGGACTTCAGGTGTGACCCTGGACTACCTCCTTCCTCTTTCTGGACCCGGGTTTCCATGTAGAGATATTGGGAGTAAAGTGATCTGTCTAAAATTATCTACCTACCGGCGCAGTACAGCCGCTCCATTCCCGGGGACCTCACAGCCTAGGGAAACAAAGCAGGCCGCGGGAGACAGGGGAGAACACTGCCTTTATTGTGGGGCTGCGGGAGGAGTGCTGGACTCAGGTGCCTCCGGACCTCCTGCCCCGGCCTCGGCCCCGGCGGGCTCATCGGGGAACACAGTTCGGTGCATGGTGGCCACGAAGCTGCAGCCGCTGGGGTCGTCCAGGCGTAGCCGCATAAGGGGCAGGAACCTGTTGGTGCTGAAGTAGCGCAGGGCCGGCTGCGGGGCGCGCAGCGCGGTGAGGAAGACCTGTGGTGGCGGGAAGAGGAACTCTGGCCCCAGCTGGACGTGGAGACCCGCGCTCCGCCCCTGCCCCTGGAGCCCCGCTGAGTGCCCACCTCGGTCACCTCCTCCGGGTCCTGAGCCTCCTCGCGGAAGATGTTCTCCCAGTGGACCAGGTAGCGCGAGAAGAGGCAGCGGGTCTGGACGTCCGCGCGGTCCAGCGCCCCGCCCAGGCCCCCTTCCAGCTTCTCTTGGAAGGCGGTGTGCACCGGGCCGCACTCGATGAGGCTCACGCTGCGGGCCCGACAGTGGCAAGTGGGCGAGGGCGGACCCGAGTCCAGCCCCGCGCCCCGGGTTCCGCGTCGCCAAGGAAGGGCGGGAAAGGGTCTGAGTGGAAGGCATGTGCTAAGGGTAACCTGAACGCTTGAAAAGCGGTTTCTGCCCGAAAAGTGCTCCCACATCCAACAGAAGCTTTGAGGGAACCTGCAGCGTCAGAGTTAGAACCTGGCCGGATCACCTACACCTGCGCCTTGTGCTGATCACTTAACCTCTCTGGGCCTGAGCTTCCCCATAACAAGACTTCAGCAGGCAGGTCAGCAAGTGCAGTGAAATACCGTGTGTTAAGTGCCCGGCACAGTGACTGGTACACGACAGGTGTGCGCCAGGGTAGCGAGGGCCAGGGAGACAGCCTGAGGGGAGCTCCAGCGGGGTGCTCGAGCCCCCAAAGTTGGGATTCAGAGGGTTTAAGAGGCGGGGTGGTGACTCACTGGATGCCGAAGGGCGGCAGCATAACCGCCAGACTCTCGAATAAGCCTTCGAGCGCGAACTTGGTGGCGCAATAAACGTCGTTAAAGGGCATCCCTTGGAGGGAGAAAGAGGTTGCTGAGGAGCCTGGGACTGACAATCCGCGGTCTCGCAGGCCCCGCCCCTCCCTAGGCCCCGCCCTCACAGCCTCTAGCCCCGCCCCTTCCACTCACCCATTAAGCCTCCCAAGCTGCCAGTCACCAAAACGCGTCCGGAACGGCGCCTCTTCATGTCTGGCAGGAAGGCTTGAAGTGTCCGCACCGTCCCGGCCACATTCACGTCCAGCACCGACATCATCGCATCCTCGGAGTGGGCCTCCAGCGGCCCCAGCAGGCCCCGGGCCGCGTTACACACTGCAGAGAGAGAAACCCCATGCCACCCTCCTCACACACCGCTTTCGGCCCCAGCCAGTCCCCTAGGGTTGCCTGGCCTCAGGACATGCTGGTTTGAACACAGAACAGAAAAAAAGCTTTTTTTTGGAGACAGGAGCCTCAAGCTGTCCTCCTGGGTAGAGTGCCGTCGCATCTCAGCTCACAGCAACCTCCAACTCCTGGGCTCAAGCAAGTCTCCTGCCTCAGCCTCCCAAGTAGCTGGGACCACAGGCGCCCGCCACAATGCCTGGCTATTTTTTGGTTGCAGCCGTCATTGTTGTTTGGCGGGCCTGGGCTGGATTCGGACCCGACACCTTGGGTGTACGTGGGTGGCGCCTTAACCACTTGAGCCACAGGCGCCGAGCTGAGAAAAAAAGCTCTTAAGAACATGTTTCGGGGAAGCTCACCCAGCACGTCCACACGCCCCTCTCTCACGCGTGCCCGGGCAGCGGCCACAGACTCTGAGTCCCTCACGTCCAGCTGCAACGTCTCCAGGGAGTCAGGAGGGCACCCTCGGGCCCGGGCTGCCTCCCACAGAGGGCCCTGCGCCTTCAGGTCCCTGAGCGTGGCGTACACTGGAGGTTCAGAGAGAGGACGAAGATGTGAATCCCCTGCTTACCTCTATGGGTTCCTCCGTTCTCTCCAGCCTTGTCCCTTCGTCTACCTTTGAAGCTCCCAGATGGGTCTGAGGCTAGACGCACTGCCAAGTTCAGGCCAATGCCCGAGGAACAGCCAGTGATGAGCACCACGGTGCGGTTCATGGGGAGACGTGTGGTGGGAGGCTAGTGAGAGGAGAAACTAGTGCCGGGAGAGGCTAGTGGGAGAGGCTATTGCCTGGGTCTCTGGGCTGGATATCTCCTGCTTTGCCCCACCTCTGCCTGCCTGGGCACCCACCCCCTTGTTGTGTCTTCAGTCCAATCTCAAGGCTGAGCCCTCCCTTGGCTTGCTCTCCCCACCCTGCTCCGGGTCAAAGCAGAAATGAAGCTTCTGACTAGCTGCCCCAGCTGCTGGCTTTGCACTGCACAGAGTGGTACTGCAGGCAGATCTTCCCCTAGGTATTCCTCTGTCCCACAGGGGCAATTCAAGTTACCAAAGTTTGTTGTTGAGAGGGTTCTCAGTTCAGAGGTCAGGGGTTATATTAAAAATGGGGAAGCTGAGGCAAGGGGCAGAGAGAACTGGCCCTACACCATATTCCATGCTGTGACTGAGTCCTCCCAAACATCCTGGCAGTGACTTCATTTTGACAACCCAGGCCTGGAAACTGAATTTTACAAATGAATTTTACAAACTGAAACTGCCTTTTATAAATGAATGAAGGGATGCAAGGCAAGAACTGGGGTAATGGCCCCAAAACTCTGTGAACAGGCTCAGCTAAAAGTAACGATAATGAGCCACTCTCCCTTCCTTTGCTTGATAATAATCAGTCATTGTCTTGTTGTTGCTTCTCTATAATTTCTACTCTAGAGCCACATAGCTGGTGGTCATAAAGATCTCAGCTTTTTCCATAGATAGTATCAGGTAGTATTTTTGAAAGCTAAAGGTAGTTTTTGAAATATCCTCCAGGTCTTGCATTCCAGTGGATTGGCTGACCTACACAGACTGGGGGCCCATACCAAGGAAGTAACTCAACTGATCTTGTGACCCCCACCCAAGAACCTGGCCAGTAAAGAAGACAATTTCTGCAGCCCTATGGTTCCACAGTAAACTTAGCCAATTATCAAATCTAATTCCTAATCCTTCACCCACCAAACTATACTCAAAACCCTGTCTCCCCACTTAGCGCTATGCAGAATTAAAAACTTTCTCTGCTAAAACCTGCTGTCTCAGGGCATCAGCTTCCTCTTGGGCAGCGGGCAAATGAACCTGGTTGGGTGGCCATAATTCATCAGTTTATTAAATTGACAGAAAACAGTACTTTAATCCCAAACTTCCTTCTAAGTCCCCCAGGTCTGATGCTGCTAGCAGGCTCTGGGTCCTTCTCCCAGGCCTACGGACATGTTCTATGATGCTTATCCAGCTCTAGGCCCTGGAAACCTGCCCAAGCCTAGAGCTTCGGAAGAATATGGGCCAGGGGTGGTTGATCTATCACAGAGCCAGCCACCCACTGGGGATAATATTTGAGGAAGATCTTTTTGGCTAAGTCCATAGTGTTTCCTTGAGGCTGGCTGGGATACCTCTTGGAGTTGAGGACAAAAGCCTGCTCCAGAGGGAAAACATTCTTGTCAAACTGGCGCTGTTGAAAAGGGATACCCTGAGCTAAGCAGTTCCCCAGTGCCTGCATGAAGAGCTGCCAGCGGGGGGCGTAGTAGTCAGCCACAAGTCCTGCCAGCTGCTTGTTAGCATAGTCTAAGATGTTGCCTACTGGTCCCCACAAGGTCAGCTGGTAGCGGCTGTTCTGTTCATAGAAATTGGCCTCAGCCTCACTGATGGCCACTGCCCGGGCCTGTGCCAACCAGCTGCCCAGTAAGAAGTGGTTGTCACTAGCCAGTACTTCATCCAGTGCAGGCAGAAGTTCATAGGCCAGAAGACCCCCAGCCCTCAGGAGGGGAACCAGCTCCTTATTCAGGTAAGCAGTTCTCGCCTTCTCATAATATAAGCTGACCAGCTCCTGGATTGCCTGGCGAGTGATGTCCAGCAGGTCATAGCGGAAGATAGGGCTGGCAGCCAGGGTTGGAGCACTTGTTAACAGCAGCCGCCAGGCCTCAAACACATCTGATCGGTTGTACCAGACCGTGGTATTCATCTGTAGGGATGGTCGCTTGACCAGCGGGCTGTGATTATGCCCACTGCAGGCCTCACCCGAGCAGTTGTAGACACTCCTGAGCAGCAGCCTCCATGCTGCCTCTGCATCCCCGTGGGAGATCCCATACCGCCGGTCAGCAAAGCTGGTCACCCAGGCTACCAAATCTGGCACTGGGTCCTTCCGCCAGCCCAGCTCAGCCATGAGGGCATAGACTACTTCGTTCTGGTTGATGCCTTCGGGGGCCATGCCCGTGCCTACCATAGTGGAGTTGGGGAAGAGGCGGGCAGCTTTAGGCCCTTGGTTCACAGCCTCCAGGGCTCCAAAGAGGCCGTGGTTGCCCCCAAAGTTATGCAGCATGCACCAGATGAAGGGCTGGCCCTGGAAGGAAGCTGTGCGGCTATATACTGGCTGGCTCTCGGCAAACAGGTCCAGTACCAGGAGGCGGCCAAGAGGCACAGCCCTTAGTACAGCCTTGATCTGGGTGGGTCCCCAGAACTGGGGTTGGTGCTGAAAGAGCCAGCCTTGGAGCAGCCATACAGCATCAGGGTCCACTGCAGTCAGGAGGGGGGAAGGACAGAGAAGAGGGATAATGAGAGGAGATAGGGCCAGAGGAAGGTGCTGAGAAGTTAAATGACTTTTTCTATCCCAAAACATACCTTCCCTTGTGATGCCCCCACCAGCCAGACATACTATCACTCCGACCCTGCTCCATCTCCGCCTCCTTCCAATTCCAGGACAGTGTTCATTAAGATTCAGGGGGCATCAGAATTACCCACAAGGCTTGGTAAAATATGGATTCCTGGACTTTAGGTCCTGGGACTTCTAATTCAGGAGGTCTGGGGTAGATAGAACCCAAGAATCTGCATATATGACAATTTGGGGTGAAGCTGATATGGTTTGTTCTGGATCACACTGGGAATGGCACTGCTCAAGGACACCTGAGCCAATCTACTCCCTCCAGCCTAACACAGGGGCCTCCCCTCCAAGCCATTTTGGCCTTGTAAGTGGCAGGAAGGAGCCCTTGCTACACATTTGGGTAGCACAATGGGCACTTACTGCCTTTGGGCACCTACCCTAACTGCTGGCCTGCATTTCCTACCTCAGCAACAAGAGACCAAATAAAATCTTTTTAATAGCCAGCACCTAATGACTCCTTCCTCTGGGCCAGTGATAATTCTGCCTATGACATAGCCTCATTTGATACATGATGTAACTGAAATACTAAGAGGGAAGGAACTTATTATAAGTCACACAGCCAGGAAATAGCAGTGCGAGGGTGTGACCCAGGTTGTCTGGGTACAGAACTTGCTCTGAATCAACCATGGTGGGATTAAATGAGATGAATTGTAACTACAAGGGCTTGGTCAACTGCAAAGCGCTGTGAGTTACAGGGAGGAGTTATTATTCCAGCCTCATCCCCACTGACCTCTGCCACCTCCATCTTTCTGAGGGTCTGGGGGACTTCCCTTCCCCACCACCCCAGGCACTGTACCTGCTATCATGGCCTCATAGACGGCAGTGGTGGCTGCAGCGAGGTAAGAGGGCTCTGAGGAGGGGGGCTGCATCTCATTAAAAGTGTCAGCCCCATAGATGTGGTCTGTGCCAAACTCTTTGGTCAGCTCCCGTAGGAAGAGGCTCCCAATGAGGGAGAATATGGGGTCTCCTGGAGCCAGAAGGAAGGAGCAGGAGTAGGAGCAGTTGAAGTGTCCCCAACTACTCAGCTGGGTGACATTGACCTGAGGAAATACCCTAGTGGAGAGCAAAAGACACACACACACAAACGTGATTACAAACCCTAGGGCAAGTAAAAATCTCATTTACAATTAAGGAAACTGAGGCACAGAGTTTTGGACATGTAACCTGTGCAAAGTCACAGTTACCTGTAGCAGAGCCAGGATCAAACTAAAATTTACATCCAGGCTTTACATTTTTCTTTAAGTCATGTCTTGCAAGAGAAAAAAACTCCCCCTCTGAGCTGAGTGAGGGTGGAGGGGAAACCTCACCTGGTGATTGCCTTGGGGACATGGCCTGCAAATGCAGGTAACACTGGGATCATGCCGAAGGAGCGCATCCGGTCCAGGATCCGATGCTAGGAGGGATGGGGGGGCTGGTGAGCATGACTACTGTACCCCTATAGGGAATGCCTCACCCAGGGCACATGAAGTCTGCACAGTCCTAGTAAGACCTCCCCCTCCAAGGATGACCAAGTACCACCAACCCTGAGCCCATGACAATCTAGCACAATCCCACCTCTTCCCTTCCCATTCTTCTACCTGGAGGTAAAGCTGCTTGAGGTGCCAGGAGAAAGGCAAGGGACCGCCCCAGGTGTGCAGGTTGCCCATGCGCCCCCAGGCCAGGAAGGCAGGGCCAGTAAAGTACTCATCAATCTCTGACTGGGTCAGACCCATGGCCAGGTAAACCTGAGGAGGACAATCCCCACACATACAAATATATTCATCACTATTCATCAATTCGCTCATTCAGCATTCATTCATTGCTTCTCTATGGTGGGCACTAGGACAACTAAGACAAAATTTGATCACCTGCCTGCAAGGAACCCACAATACAGGGGAAAGAGATTTGTAGGCAGGTGAGTTCACTAAGAGGTCATCTTTGTGGCATGGGTGAGGGGATTTGGCATACAGGTGCTTTTCACTAAGTAGGAAGGGAGGCTTAGAAGGCTTCTTGGAAAACAGTGGCCAGATGGAAAAGCAGGACAGCCCTACAAGGTGCTGAAGCAGCCCTGAAGTGGCCTGTGCACAGGGAGGTTTCCAGGGAGGCAGATGAAGAGCTGCTAACCAGAAGGATCTATAGGACCAGGTGATTGGCCTCATGTGGGGCTGGGAGCAGGAGGGGAGCCCTAGCTTCTTAGAGCGCCAGGGCTATCCCAAAGCAAACCTCATACATGCTTGTCTCAGGAATGGAGGCCTCCATTTCTACAGGGCTGGAGGCATTAACATGCCACTTACATTTTGGAAACCCTTATTCTCTATGTGTCAGACACTGTTCTGTCGCGGGGATTGGGGAGTGGGTGCGTGTGGGGTGACTCCCGTGGTGGGTTGGAGAGTGTGGAGGGGCCAGGTGGGCACGCACCCGCTGCCAGATGGCCTCCTGACCACTCCAGGCCAGGGCCAGGTTGATGCCATTCAGCACCATCCAGTCAATCTCTCGCTCCCAGCGGGCCCAGTCCCACCACACGAAGGAATAGCTTTGCGTGCACACGTTCTGGTAATAGCGGTACCTGCAGACAGGAGCGTGAGCTGGGAGGGGTCCCATCCCAGTGAGTCCATCCCCCTGGAAGGGCTCAGAGGGCATCCTGGAACAACTCACCCTCCCGTCTAGGGGAGAGGGGGAAGGGTTCCTAACACATTCAGGTGTGCCCCCACCTGCCCCCAGCCCTCCCCTAGGGATCCCTAGCCTAACAGACATGAGTGTGCACATTCAATTTTCATTCCATACTTCCAGAGCCCCTCTTCTCTGCAGTGTTTCAGTGCTATATGGTAAAGTCGGTCTCTGTTCTGGGAAGGGGGGGTCCTTGTCCCCACAGTCTAACAGGGAGACAGATGTGGGAACACATCACTCTATACAATGTGGCAGGCGCTAGAACAGAGGCCGGTGAAGGGATAGGCTCATTCCTCAGTATCTTAAAAGGGGGTAGAGAAGGAAGGGATTAAAATCTGATGATCACCAATTATACAAACTCTACGCCCATCATCGTGCAAATCCCCACAGCCAGCACTGCACGGGTGATGTCTTATTTCCCTGTTTCAGGTAGGCCAAGGGCGGCTGTGAGAGGCAGACGTGCTCACAGACACACAGCTGTTGCAGGACCAGCTAGGATTTGAAAGGAGCGTCAACACCTTCTCTGGCCTCCAGGTTTAGGTAGTATCCGCCTAGTGCTGGAATGGGGGCGGAGCGGGCGCCCCCGGCTGGACGCCGGGGCAGCTGCGGGGGGTGCGCCCGGTACCTGTTGGGCGTAGCCTCGGTCAGCTCTTCCGGCACAGCGGGCAGCGGCCGCGGTAGGCGCAGCTGGGAGCCTGACCAGGCCACATGGCAGCCGCAGAAGTCGCGCAGATAGCGGTGCAGCCCTGCGGCGGCCGCCACGCCCGTGGAGCCGCGCACACGCACCCGCGCGCCGCCGCCGCCGCTCAGGCTGTAGGTGTCCAAGCCCGACTCGGCCGCCAGGGCGCGCTCCACTGACACCGAGAAGTCTGCCGCCGGCCCGGGCCCCAGCAGCCGGGCCACGAGTGCCCGCACGGCCTCCGCTTCCCGGGCCTCGTCGCCAGCCAAGCTCCCCGCCCCGGCCAGCAGCAGGAACTCCACAGCCACGGCCATCACCACGGCCTCCATGGTCTCAGCCCTGCGGCAGCCCGCTCCCAACCAGGGGCGGCCGCGTCCAATCAGCTGCGGGCTTCAGGCCACGTGCCCCCGAAGGTGACGCTCTGGCTCCCCAAGACTCGCTTCCGGGTCTCAGACAGCGCCTTAGGGGTGCCTAGTGACAGCACGCGGTGGGGAGCACGTGACCCCAGCTACTTTAAACTTCCAGTGCCGGGTGGGATCCGCTGTCCCTCTCAGCGCTTTCTGGTACAAGGCACTTAAGATGCAAATCATTTCCATCCACTCCAATAATATTTATTTGAAGGGTTTTTTAATTAATTATTATTATTTTTTTTTTGGTAGAGACAGAGTCTCACTTTATTGCCCTCTGTAGAGTGCCGTGGCACCACACTGCTCACAGCAACCTCCAACTCCTGGGCTTAGGCGATTCTCTTGCCTCAGCCTCCCAAGCAGCTGGGATTACAGGCGCCCTCCACAAGGCCCGGCTAGTTTTTGGTTGTAGTTGTCATTGTTTGGCAGGCCTGGGCTGGATTCGAACCCGCCAGCCTCAGTATATGTGGCTGGCGCCCTAGCCACTAAGCTACAGGCGCCAAGCCAGATATATGTATATTTTTAAAGGAGGACTGCTTGAGATTAGGAGTTGAGACCAGTTTAAGCAAAATCAAGATTTCCATCTCCATTAAAAGTAGAAAAAATTAACCAGGTGTGGTGGTGGCACATCTGTAGTCCTACAGACTTGGGAGGCTGAGGCAGGAGGATCATTTGAGCCTGGGAGTTGGAGGATGCCACGAGCTATAATGACGCTGCACTCTAGGCGGGACAACTGAACATCACTGTCTCAAAAAAAAAAAAAAAAAAGGGCTGCATGCAGTGGCTCATGACTGTAATCCTAGCACTCTGGGAGGCTGAGGATGGATTGTCTGAGCTCAGGGGTTCAAGACCAGCTTGAGCAAGAGCAAGACCCCGTCCCTAAAAATAGCCCAGCATTTGTAGTCCCAGCTACTTGGGAGGCTGAGGCAAAAGAATCATTTGAGCCCAAGAATTTACAGTTGCTGTGAGTTATGACGCTACAGCACTCTCAGCACTCTACTGAGGAGGACAAAATGAAACTGTTTCAAAACAAACAAAAAAACAGCTCTGTAAACTGGTTGCCTGTCCCCGGTGGAGTAATGAGATGGTAGGAGTGGGAAAATTTATAATAGGGCACTGGCCACATACACCTGAGGCAGGTGAGTTTGAACCCAGCCCAGGCCAGCTAAATAACAACCTTAACAACAACAACAAAAATAGCTGGGCATTGTGGTGGGCACCTATAGTCCCAGCTACTTGGGAGGCTGAGGCAAGAGAATTGCTTAAGCCAGGAGTTTAAGGTTGCTGTGAGCTGTGACGCTACAGCACTCTGCTGAGGGTGACATGGTGAGACTCTGTCTCAAA